TGTGAAATTTCAGATGCTGAATATGCAATTACAGTAAAGACAGTTCCGAAGACACTCTCATATGAGCAGGCAATTTTAAACTGTAAATCGGATGGAAAACTGCTTTGTAATTCTCAAACAATATGCAAAAATGGAGTTCCTTACACTGGAGTAATTCTTGGTGACCACTGGGTACCCGTGAGTGACAGTGCAAACGAATGGGCGCAGATTGGTAAGTTAAATCATGCAAAATGCACAAATCTTGTTGACTGGATTTGTATATCGCGGTCTACATAATTATATACATGCAGTTAAAAATTTGTTTTGAATGATCATATGTTATAGCATAATGTGAGTATATCTATAAAATCTATAGTCGTCACATGTATATCCGGCACTAATCATGGTAGGCATATTGTAATAAAGTTACCACTTAATTCTACGTCTACAGCTACATATAGATATGCATAAACGTATTTTTGGATGATTGTAATTGTACGCTTCCTTCCGTCATATTGTATTTATATCCAGTTTTTTCATGCATAAAAAGCGTTAAAGCGATGATTATAGAATGTGGAATGGTCAGAATGTTCCGGATTCCTTCTTCTGTCCCGACAAATTAAAGTATATAATATTGATTAATGAATAGTGTTTTCATTCGAGCATAGTTCGAGCGATTGCACTGTGTCTCATTGCATGCATCAGTGACCGCCCGATGGAATGTTCAAGTGACAAAAATTCTGGTTTTTTATTTTTTTGCCAGAAAAGACCAAACTTTTAAGAAAACCTAAAAAAAATGACATCAAAAATTTAATTTCACATACAATTTAACAAGGATATGTTATCGGAAAAGCTTTGAATTATAATTTTAATTGAGCAAAGACCGTCAAGATGAGCTAAGGTATTAATTAAAGATGGTTCTGCCGGATCGTCTTAACCCCTAAACCCGGCCGGATTAACTTTCTGACTCGAGTAACAGAAGTTCCTCACAACCAGGAGGGCATTCAGACCAGTTTCACCAATCTTCAGTCTGAATATATTGATACCACAGCATGGCGAACTGTCAGACCAGCCTCTGCATGTTTAGTTCTGAGCGTCTGGCACTAACATTGAGCCATAGTAATCAAACCTTTTCTAGATGAAGGAACTGAGAAACATGCTCCGAAAAACAACATCCTGATCTTGATATTGATCATTTATTGACCTGGAGTGTGGGGATTCGGTGAGATATTTCCCGAAGTGATGACATTTTACGAGGGCTTCGCCCGAGGGAAATATCAATACTGAAATTCGGCGAAGAATTTAATATTTCTATAATCTATAAATCGGTAAAAATACTCAAAGAAGGCGCAAACAACGTAAAACGTATATTTTAACATTAGTCAACTTTTTGCGTTTTCTGTATGTCTTTCGTGGAGAATATGGTTAATTTTCTCGTCAGAATCGTTAATTTCTTGATTTCAAACAAACAACACTATTCCCGCAAATATTTTCAGTGGGTGCGTGTTGTCCTCGCGAGACGTCGCGTGAGATAAATTTAATATCACAGTGTGATCAGTGTCAGGGGATTGGGTTGCGATACCGCGAAAAATCTCCTGGTCACATGGTATATATAATGTTTTTTGATTGGACAATTTGAATGTGAGGTATAATATAATATTAGCTATATACATCAATACAACAATTTGCGGTGAAAAATTATCAAGTTTCTTCCCATAAATTATTACCTATAAATAGTTGGCCGGATGTATGAGCTTGGACCATCGAACAATTAGTCGTAAGGATTTTAGTAGGTTTTCATGGTAATCAACCTTATAGAACGTTGAAATGTTTTGCCATTTGTACGCTAGTTATTTTTTAAACCTGAAGATGGTATCTTGATACCAAAATACATTGTCAATTTTTATACTTGTTGGCTCCTTCTTAAAAGTTCAATGAACGTTATCAGTGCCACAATGTTTTTACCCTACAATTTATTTAGACTTTTCTTCCTATATTATATCAAATTGTCTGCTCGCAAAGAAATTAAATATTCTTACTATTTTTAATGATGTTTTTAGGAAACCGTCATCGTTCATGTAGTCTCCACAGCTCTCTAGGTCAAAAACCTCTTTGGGGATTATGGAATAGTGCTAACAACTTCAAAGGAAATTTGTTCTGCTGCAAAATAAAAGTGAAAGGTGGGACTTTATATAAGAAATGTTTACAACATGAGATGAGACGTGGAGATGATCTTGTTGCTAGGCCGGCTGAGCTGAGAGGTTCGACAGAACGATAATTTGACGATCGTCGTCAGTTTCGTCATCGTTTGGCAGTTAAAATATACAATGATAAATTCTTGCAATGAATATAAATATTCATGCTATTACATGTAAGTTTCTCTTTTTAAGATCCTAAAATCTTTTTGGGAAGAGTCTCAAATAGACTTTCGTACCAACAAGCGCAAACAAAATGTCGTAACAAAGGCAAAAATCTCTGCAGTTCAAAGGATTTGTGTAGTGATGGTAAAACACCGTATGGCGGACCAATTGCAGGAGATAACTGGGTGCCTGTGAGCGACAGCTTCAATGAGTGGCTTCAAGTTGGTAAGAAAATATTCAGATATGCCTGTAGTAACGGATGACAAATTATAGCATCATTTTTTAAGCATTATATATACTTCAATTTTTTCAGGTAAATCTCCACATCCTCCTTGCAGACTTCACAGCTCAATCGGGGTTAAACCCGCATGGGGATTAAAAACTGGTGCCCCTGGCGTTACCGGAATTCTTCCCTGTTGCCAAGTAGAACCCAAAGGTAAAATTGGCTTTTGAATGAAATTATTGATTAGAGGCTCAATAATAGCAAATTTTCCATCATTCAACTGTTCACCTTTCTCTTCCGCTTTCGAATAAAAGAGAGCTTACGATTTTGGAGCATGTATGGAGAACGTAAAACAAACTCCTTCGAACTGATGATCGAAAAGAAAACTTTTCGTATATTATCAATCCTGTGCATGCATAAGTTTAGTACGATAACAAACGTTAAATACATGTTTTAGCCCATGGGAAGACTTCTAACATTTAACCGATCGCGTTTTGAAGTTACACCTGCCAAGGCTTGATCATGAAATGCTGACAATTTCCAAATAAAACGCGAGAATTTATGAATCTAAGAAATGGCATGTGGCGTCTAAAACTTTATTAACTCATGAGATCTTAATGTATCTGATGTGATACGGGTTACATTCATGCATCATGTGTCGTTTTACGGGCATATACAAATTTTTTTTGATAACTATAATTTAATTTTAGATGCAGGGATTTCAATGAAGAATGTTCCACCTACAACTTCATATCAACAAGCAGTTTCAATATGCACGTCCAATGGAAAACAACTCTGCAACTCTCAAGATATATGTAAAGACGGTAAAACTCCCAGTGGTGGACCTATTCAAGGAGATCATTGGGTGCCTGTCAAAGATAGTGACAACGAATGGTTACAACTCGGTAAATATTGCAATTGTATTCTCTTGCAAAACTTGCAGGTATACACTCTTGTTAGGAAAGTTTTGCGATTAGTTTTCTGGTGAACAATCGATACAATTATTACCGTAAAGAACAAACTTTTCTCTCCTTATCCTTTTGTCAAGCGCTATATAGCCTATGCATCACCCAGATCGACATTGTTAAACGAACAATGCCCACGAGCTGTTTATTCCTTTCATAAGACTCCTGCTGTTTTCTAGGTAACTCGCCGCACAAACCATGCATTCTTCACTCTCAGCTGGGACAGAAACCGTCCTGGGGAAGTAGTACACAAAGCCTGGTTTATAGGGGTTATCTTTTCTGTTGTGACTGACATGGTTATACGCCGTTTTTGATTCAATATAATCAAAAAATACTTCTTACTTGATGATAAGATATATTAATTGTATTTTCCAAATATTAAATAAAATGAATGCGCCTAGTGATTTAAAACACCTCATTACATTTCTTTTTCTTATGACTGCGCATGAGCTATAGTGGAAGTCAATCATTATTTGGACGATTGAAACCCTGCTCAATGCATGGGCTGTTATTAATTGGAAGAAATTAGGCACTGCGTTTTCTTATATCCTTTCCCCCTTACGGTCTTTGCCATCCCTTAAGGTCTTTGCGATCCCTTACGGTCTTTGCCATCCCTTACGGTCTTTGCCATCCCTTACGGTCTTTGCCATCCCTTACGGTCTTTGCCTTCCTTTAGGGTCTTTGTTATCCATGCTCTAGCTGCATCTCGGGAGTTCGCGAGTTTTGCTGCTGCACGCTTGCAAGGGCTATAGCTCGCGGATGTAATAGTATAGATGGCGGCAAACATATACTTAGAGAGTGTTTTGAAGATTCACTGGAGAACGGGGATGCGATAGAAGTTGGTTCTCGCTTTCACTGTCAGAAACAGACACAATAATAAGCTGAATTTTAGCTGAACTATAACTTTAATGTAATTTATGATAAAATTAACTATATACATATTTAAAAGAATTCTAAGTAAAACTAGACCAAAATTAACTATTCTAATCACCATGCATTTTCAGATGGACTGTTTAAACTCTTTTCGAAAGTCATAATGATTGTTGTTCTTCCTAATTTTTATAGAAAAGGAGTACTTCGCATGTAAAGTTAAAACCTACTTTAAAAAACCTTTGCAATCTTAACATTTAGTCCAAAATCGTCTACTACTTCAAATTCTTTTCTATAAAAAGCTGATCTAGATCCCCTTACACTCGCATGTACCGATCTTAAAATTTCAGCTGAAATTGCAGAGTGCTTCATCTAGACCCTTCCTGGAAAGTTTCGGGTTCGATTCTCGCCGTGGTTAAGCTAATTTTTCAGCTTGCACGCTTAATAATTCGCAGTAATTCGATACTCTGTAGTGATTTCCGGCTAATATTCAAATTCGGGGAAAAGTTATTCATGTACGTAGAAAGTGTTAACATTGCATCGCAGCATGACGTCAAGCGATGATATTTAGAGCAAAACAAGTCAAAAAAGTTAGATCGATGAAGAAGCGACGCTAAGAGATGACGTCTTCTTGAATGTACTCAGCTGTTCATCACATTTTATTGATTTACTTCGAAAGTATGCGCCTCTACCGGTCACATCCGGAGTTCTTAGGTAAGGAAGTAATTATATTGGCACTCACTCAAGCAACAAACCCGGCGTCGCTTCCTTCGATAGCGATGTCTCGGTTAACTTGGATAAACTGGATAACTTTTCCTTAATATCCGAGTGTTCTGGTGCATGTATTTGACTATTTGTATGGATACGTTTGATTGCTTCTAAGCAAGGTCAGTAAGATGTAGGTGACTTTGAAAACTAAGGAGAATAAGGGCAATATTCGGAGGTTTTGTTATCGTAACAGCTGTGGATCTTACAACAACGTTAATATGTAAATTCCACACTTTATAACAATTGCCAATTCAAGTTTGAAGCCAACTTCACATTCGATACATCTATAGCTCTATTAATGTGATTATGTGAAAACATGTGATATATCTTTAAAGATTAACTATTAATATCTACTAAGGCTTAAGCTTCAGAAGCCAAAGGCAAAGTGTAGCTACTATAGCTTCAATAAAAATGACTTGATAACATGACTTGTCGAAAACCACTATGGAGTCGATCACATGCAATGTCGATAATGTAATATTGCTTAAAGCAAACAATTAAGACCCTGCATGGGTTTAAACAGTTTACTGCATGCATACTTGGAATACAGCTAGCGCGAAAAAGATCATGAAAATTGGCGATCTGTGAGTAAATATAGAGAACGAAAGTTACGAAACTTTTAAACAATCGGCTCCAAGCCGGTATAATGGCAATCACTGTAACACAATGGAAAGGGAATATCTGATACCTGGTCGGGTGCTTTAGAATTGTAAATATTCGTGCAGAACCAAAAACACATTTTAAGTGTGAACACACGCGAGAAGCCATGCAGAGCAAGGCCCTAACGAAGAAACATAAGTGCATTTTGACATTTGTGACATGGCATGCCTGAGTCATGTTCAGATATCCATCCCGTATGACTATACTGCTGGAGTAGACAGCTAAATCATTTCGCTATTAATATTCTACAACTTGCGGTGAACTACGACTTACCCCTCTATTTTAAAAGCCTCCTCACACTCAAACTCATTGAGTGGGAGATCTTATTCTTCTTATAGCTTTCCATATATTAATTGACTAAAAATAACAAAATGTCTATGTCACACTCAGAGAGTGTGAGTGAGCCTGTTGATGAATACGGACGTTAGACGTAGCTAATGACGAATATATGGCCTCTTTTATACGCGAGCAAAACTTTAACTTTCGTCGACTGAGATCTTGTCTAAAGGCATATGCCGTTAGAAATTCCCCATTTAAAAGGACAAAGTATATTTTTCATATGAAATTTGTCTAAAAATGGGGTGACCTGCATGTGCAAAAATGTAGCCTTCTATACAAGTTTTTGCTGCCGAGCGAAGCGAGGTGGCATTCTATTCTCGACCCATTCCCCCGTGCGGACGTATTTATGTTTGCAGGCAGAATTTCGATTTTGTGAGTATTGTGTCGTGATGTCGGTCAGATTATGACGTAAAATGACGTAACAGTTGCAAATTGGCATACACAGGGATTTCACGAATATAATTAGAGTAGAATCGAATAACTGTGTCAGAACTCGAAAACGCCGTATGAGTGATGCTATTTTGTAGAAACTACGCTGTTTACCGTTCGAGGCTTTGAGCTGTACTTCGGTGTTTGCGATTTATATAAAGCTAGGGAGCGCTTCTCATATGGTTATATTTCGGAGTTTTTTTGAAGAAATAAGCGGTTTGGAGAAGGTATGTTGACTATAGTGTATTAATTTTTCTTTTATTTATGGTTTGGTTATAATTTACGCTGTAGAAAAAGTCACATTATTACTCCATGGGAATGAAAGGTCTGAAAGTCGTAGATTTAATGCGTCCGGAGGTTTGAAAACACGTTCGGCTTTTATTCATTATTTTTAAACCATTTTTAACAACAGAAATTTCAACAATTTTACTTACTTTGAAGTGTTCTACAGTCACTCATGCCAATAGAATTAATATGAAATTGTTAATAAAATTGAGCATGCTATTTACTGTATACTGTACTGTTAGTGTAAACAAGTGCTGTATATAAAATTTACATGTTCAATAAACTTAGGCGATATTTTGTATTATTAAACATTTTGTTGTAGTTTATAAATAACCATTTTAGTTACAAAAAATACCAAAACGAAAGACAAAACCAGCACAAAAGTATTGATTTTGAAAATATGAATTGGATTTTATATTGCATACATTTATATTTTAATATCAAAGTGTGATTATAAATTTGTGATACATAATTATAAATAGTGTGATACATAATTATAAATTTAAATTTAACTTAAGTATAATAGTGTGATACATAATTATAAATTTTTAATTAATGCAAAAGTTATACGGTAAAGGTTCTTTCTTTTTTTTACTTTTAGACAGTGAGCGAAGAGACAATCAGTCAGAAACCACTGTATTTGCACTGGTCAATATTTATCAGAATTATTTCTGATTCGATAAGCAACCATTGTGTTGGTGCTGGTCAATATAAATCAATTACTGATTTGACCAGACATCTATATCCAGTGATTGGATATATCAGTTACAAAATCAAACCAAACGAGTGTGTGATCCTCGTTAAACAACTAAACGAGTGTGTGATCCTCGTTAAACAACTAAACGAGTGTGTTGTCCTCGTTAAACAAACTAAGCAAGCCATTGTGTTTGCTATTAAACTAACAAGACAAAGCCATTGTGCTTGTGAGAAGAACTTAATATCTGGTGCTGAAATACCAAATAACGAAAATGGGAGAGTCAATTGAGCAATATCGTGTTCGAATTGGAGTGCACAACAACATAAGAATGAAAGCTTCTTTACCTTTGCTTGCAGGTAAATATGGTAGTGATGTCATAGTGTTCATACTTTTTTCCTTGCTCTTTACATTAATGATATTATTTTGTCAAGTACTTTTTCTGTACATGAGTTATTTGGCAGCAAATGCAAGATGCATTGAAACAGGAAGTGAAATGATTATATCATTTAATGAAATGTCATGCAACAATGTGTATGTCCCACTGTTATTGAGATTGGCCAATGATGTTGAGGAAAATCCAGGACCAACAATATTTAATGTGGTTGATCCCACAAAAACCATATGTGCCAATTTTAGTCAAGGTGATACAATGAAATTCGGAGAAAATTCTGGTAAACAATGTGTAGCAATGTCTTTAACTGCTATAATTCATAATTATATAACAAATGTTACTTGCTGGGATTCTTCACTTTTGAATAGCATACTTTGTGTTGGAGATAATCTTTATACATTTATAAGTAGGTCTATTAATAAAAGCTTTTTGCTTTTAACTGATGTGCCAGAAATAGTTTCAATTTTTGATAGCATGTATCATTTAGAATACAGTGACCCATTAGCCGGTGATTTATTTATGGGAACCACCAATTTTCCTTACTACACTTTAGAAGATGCTCTTGGTAGTCTATTTTCCAATTTACAACTGAATTGTAGGGAATGCCTGTTGACTATAAATGCTAACACTGTTGCAATTTTTAAAACTTCTGAAGAGAATTTCAAAATTTTTGATTCCCATTCAAGAGATTTATATGGTATGCCACACCCATTGGGAAAATGTGTAGTAGTGTCTATTGAAGATATAAAAAGTCTTGTTGTGTATTTTCAAAATACTGTATCTCGAAATCCTGGCATGCATATGATTCCATTTGAAGTCAAAGGGGTTATTGTGAGTGAAACCGAGAAAGAGACTGCTATGTCATCAATGCAGAATAGTGTGGATACAAGTGCACAGCGAATTGCAATAGATAAGCTTAAGCAACTAAAAAAAGACAGAAACTACAGAAGAGCTAAACGAGCTTGTGAAACAGAAAGTGAGACACAGGTTAGACTTGAAAATGCTAGAAAATATCACAACTTGAAACAAGCAGTAGAGACTGAAATTGAAAGGCAAACTAGACTCGAGAAAGATCGAGAGTATAGAAAAAGAAAACGAGCAGAAACCATTGCTGAAAAACGATCTCAATCTGAAAATTCTAAACAGAGCAGGAAAAGCAAAGTTACAATTATGTCTCAGGAAAACTACTTGAAAGAATTTGACATTTATAAGAATGGTGGCATTCAAGAACAGAATTGGGCTCAAGCTAACATAGCTAAATTTCATAAATCTAATGACTTGCACAAAAGTCAATGCAAAATTTGTTATGAGGCATGGCCATTGAAGTCTAAAGCTAGGTCATCTAATGATTATGTTTGCTCACGATGCTTCAGAGATAAAAAATCTCCCAAAAAGTTTTCAGTTGAAAATTCAATGATTCCTTCTCCCATACCACAACAGTTACAAGGTTTGACTCAAATTGAGGAAATGTTGATTGCACGAGCTCTTCCAATCATGAGAGTTTATATCAAACCTGGTGGACAACGAGGCTACTCAGGGCATTGCATCAACCTGCCACAAAATGTAAAAGAACTTGCAACAACATTGCCAAGATATCCAAAAGAATTGTCTGCAATTATTGTCAAGGCTAAAGGTAAAAATGACACATTTAAAGATGTTACTGTGAGGAAACAGAAAGTACATGAAGCGTTATGTGGCTAATGCAAAATAATCCATATTATGCTAACTTACAAGTTAATGAAGATGCATTAAATTTATTACCAGAGAATGGTGTACCACCAGATCTTATGACTGTTGAGACTGATGATGATATAGTCTCAGGTGATAACTGTTCTCCTGATGCAGGACCTCCTACTGATAACCCAACAGAGGATATTGTGTATAATGATTCTACAGAAATGAGTAGTTTTCTACCTGTTGGTGAACAACAACAACAGGAGATACAAGCTGTTAGAAGTCAGCTTACTGAAAATGACCCAATGCAATGGCCGTCAGTTGAAAATGAACCTTTAAACGAGTATCAGATATCACATCTAGCTACAATGGCTTTCCCAACATTATTTCCAGATGGGAAAAGGTGATCCTACTAATCAAGGACTTTGAGAGATGTATCTCTTCAGGAACGGATAAAGCATCTTTTAAATT